GAATTAAGTCTGAGGTTTTCAATCAAATCATGTGATATGTGTGACGTTTTATAGTCGCAAGTCAACTGAAAAACTCACATCTAACTCCAGATTCAAGTCTGAATATCTCATTTGAGTTTTAACTATTAATACGAGCCTTATAATATTTTTTTGATCATTTTTAAATGTGCGTCGGTCAAAGAAGGCTAAACAAGTAAAATATTCAGACGATTTTACGATTAGAAATGCACGTCAATTTCGTGCATGGGAAAAATATCTTGAAAATTGCTACTTTGAAATTTTGGATCATACAGAAAATTATCACCGAAATTATTATATATTTATTGAAAAATATTACACGTCTAACTTCTTGCTGCAAAATTATTGTGCTTACTTGAATGCCTCTTATATCAGGTCGTGTATCGTCAAATTTGTTATTCCCACAGCCTAGTTTTACAGACAACATTGAAAAAAGGAATGTAATTTTAATGCAATTTTTGCTGCAATATTCCCTGCATGCGCTACACAATCGATGTCCACGCGATCACTCTCGCGGGACTCATTAACTTTCTCCCGTCCCTTCGACTGAAGATCAATCAGTCGATTTTCTTTTTTATCAGCCGCGACCCCTCGGGGCAATCGTCTAATCCGGAGGATATCTCCGCTATCGAGATATCCCGAGATAACGTCCCCAATGCGTCTCTGAAATGCGTCGTCGAACGGCCATCCCTCTTCCGCCACTTCCTTCCGCGTGAGCGAGGAGGAAACGCGTCCACCGAAACGAAGAATGATCTAGTAGCGAGACCGGCTTTCGCGGAAAGCCGCAGAAGTGGTCGAAATCGAGTTGAACGAACCCTCTTGCCGACGGCCACCTACCTCGAGGATCCAGACGGGAAAAAGCGAAGCGCACTCGGAGCGTGCCGTTCTGCCGACCGACTGAGGACCACCTCGGTGACAAATGGCGGCGTTTTACGGCCAGAGCCGTACTCGCCACCCTGCGAACGCCAGGAGTGTCATCCCGGCCGTCGGCCGTTCGTCGCTGCAGCTCGCGGTCGAACCGCTTAAACTGCGAGAATTATTCGCCATAAAACGCGTCGAACGAGAACCAGCGACTGAGACTGTACCTGGTCTCTCAAGGATATTCAGCATGACCTCGTAAGGAAAAGCACGTTACACGACACGGCGAATCCGATGGCGGATCACCTCGTGTCACCTCCGCGCGAAGTAGCGTCTTCGGTCATTCGTCCTGTCCGCGAGGTGGGTGATGGAGCGAGCTTTTATCTCGACGCGCTTCTTCGTACGGAGGATGCCCCGACGTTGCCTCGATGATGAATCGACGGCTAGTCCAGGTAGACCGGAGAGAAAGTTGATGTATTTTTGAGAATCTCGGTGCTGGAGGGTCTTAGGCGAAATCTCAGACAGTTATTACGTTCGACTATTCAAAAGTGACGGGCTCGAAGTTCCTCCAGGTTTTTATGCCAGGAAGGATCCAGCAAGCCGTGCACACGGAGGGGAAAATTTTGTAGTAAAAAATTAATTTATGATATTATAATCTAATACATAATTTATATTAAGAAAAGAAATTTATATTAAGAATTTATATTATGTATTATCAATACATAATTTATAGTAAGAAAAGAAAATATTATAATTTCGTAGCCGAGGACATTTTGCAATAGTTGATTATCCTTTCAGTTTATATGTGCTGCATTTATACCTCAGGAACCAAGATGTATTATTGAGGAGGTTTCCAGAGAAATTTACTATGTTGCTTAGCAAGATAGACAGACCTCACATTGAGAAAAAAAGTATCTAAAAAGTGAGAAATATTCTTACTACTTACTAACTAACAACACATATTTACTTGCACTAATATACGTATTTTCTCATTGAAAAAAAAAATTTCTTTCAAGTGTGTGACAGAACATATATTTTCCCACAAAACACGCACAACACGTTGCTTTTCACCAGAATAATTATTTGTTCTATTTAAACCAAAGAATTTAGATTTAAATAAATATATTAATTAGTACCCAACGACATACATATTTCTTGTATTCTAGATATTCCTCTCAGTGTAGATCTCGTCAGTCTATTCCTGCACTACTAAGAAAGAGAGAGAGAGTGAACATAGTAAAATTAAAAATATAATTTATAATAAAAGTAACTCTATACAATGCATCCTTTCCCGTAACAATCGAAACACGAACATTCTTGCCTCTGTATTCCATATTTCGCGCGATTGCGCGGAAATGGGTTTCATCACCGCTGCCGAGGTGGCGACACGGCGCGAAGGGCCGACGTTTTCGTTTTTCGCGACGCGTGTGTACTTACATACTTTCACTTGGCGAGTCTCTGTGCGCGCTGGGAAAAAAGAGAGCGAGGAGAACGGCGTATAATATCCGGTGGCACGTAACCGCAAGGCCGCGGCCGGCGGGGTGTACACCTCTGGGGGTCGAGCGAGTCGGCGGAGGGCGGATGGAGGGTGGTTCAATTAATTGTTTCTTTATAATCGATTGAGCAAAGGGCGTAAATCTTCAGTATCCCGACACGCGGATCGCTAGCTCGCTAGTCTCGCTGATTATTAACGCGCGATAACTCATCGGCTTTATCGCCCTTGCGCGCGCCACCACCGACATCGGCATCAGTATCGTTGGGACGCGCGCTGTATAATTTATCCGATAACCCCGTGAGTCTCGCACAGTGATTGGTCATTGATGTCGGATATAATTACCGCCGTAGAAAAGAGAGAAAGAGAGAGGTAAGGAGAGAAAAAGAGAGAGAGAGAAAAAGAGAGAGAGAGAGAGATCCGGTCAGCGCCGTGACGCGCGCACTCGTTGCCTTGGAGAGCAACGAATGGTGTAGCGCCCCGGGAGAAAATTAATAGGCCGCGCGGGAAACGACGACGACGACGTTTTCCTTAACGGCTACGCATTAGACAATAATTTACGACTGCTCGAAGTGGCGCGATAAATCTTCATTACGCGGAACAACCGCGTGGATTAATCATATCGCCGTCCGTCGTTGAGGAAAGGTCGCCTCGCAACCCTATCGGCCGCGCGGGACGCTTTGCTGAATGCTCGTCTCGTATCGTTGATCGGTCACTTCACAGTCGATGACCCGCGAGAGAGTCGGGCTGTGCGATCCGAACGATATGATAATGTACAGCTGTCGCGCAATAAATTACCTCCCCCTCGGTCCGCGAACGGGGAGAGAGGACGACAGGACCCGAGATCGATGGGACTCGAGTTTTCCGATCGGATTGTTAAATTGTGTCCGATCGTAATTGCGCGATCGTAATGGGCGCTTTCCACGTCGCTTCTCTTTTCAACGCAATCGTTATCAGTACGTATGTGACGCAGATGGATCTCTCACGAGAGCCCCGACGTCATATATACGTGATTTTTCATTCTGCGTCCGCGCGTGTAAACAAATTAAGTCCGTTCTGTGGTGTTACGTAAACAAAAAGTCCACAAGGTGGACGTACACAAGGTGTGGGAACGGTTCGCCAAATAAATCGCGATTCACAAAAAAAGAATTTCAGTTCGGCCAACTGAATAAAAACCAGACGAGAAACTCGCTGACGTGAAGTAATATCTCTGTTATTGTGACCAAAAACTCTCATCTAGACATTCAGTTGCATTGAAACTCGACTGAGATAACTGGAGACAATTGGCTGAGTAGAAACCTTTCTTACAGGAATCTTGCTGTTCCCACAACCGAATCTTTCATCCGATTCCCGAGTAACAGAAAACTTAATTGCATACCAACGGAGTTGGTTTTTTTTTCTATGCACACGCGAGAGAATTTTACAATAAACATTTATTCTGTAGTAATTCTGTAGGAACATAATAAACATTTATTATGTTCCTTTCATTTCGTTTGTGTATTTACACTTTAGGAATTGAAATTAAAACATTTGCTGTGTCTCTAGTGAAATTTACTATATTTCTTGGCAAGATGGACCGCATTGCACTACCATATAGAAATATAGTAACATTGAGAGGGATTTGTATGAAGGAAACTATAATATTCTCTTTATGTAACGTGTGTATTAAAGAGAATTCGAAATGTCGGGTATGACGATCTGCATGGATCTTATTATCTTATTATCATAGATTACCATTATCCTTATCTCGGAAATCGCTTTGATTCTCGACGAGCCACCTTTTCGACATTCTGCAGTAATTTATTATTCTTTTATCTCATATGTGTGCTATTCTTATTTAAAAAATTGAAAAATTGTATTAAAAAGTTTGTTATATTCCTTAGCAAAATAGACCTTACTGACAATATTTCTGCACTACTGAAGATATATAATAAAGTTTAAAAGGACATATATGTGTGTGTATATAATATATATTTTCTTCGTGTGTGACAAGCGTGCTAAACAGAATTCGAAATTTTTGTTTCTATCCGAGAATATTATCTGTGAAATCGCTTCGAGGATTCCCGACGAGTTATCCTTTCAATGTTTTACAATAATTTATTATACTTTTGTCTCATATGTGCTATTCATATTTTAGAAACACTGAAATGTCCCATTTAAAAAGTTTATTATGTTTCTTAGCTAGATAGACCTTGCTATGACAATCTATTTCTGCACATACTACTGAAGAAACGCAGAAAAGTTGAAACAAAATTCATATGTGTGTGTTTGTGATGAGTATGTGTGAAAAGGGAGCTATGATACATATTCTCTCCATGTATGACAAACGTGCTAAAGAAAATACGAAATTTTCATTTCTATTCGAAAATATTTGTGAAATCGCTTCAAGGGTCCTCAAAAGTCGCAATTCGCAGCGAAGAACCGTACACGTACCGCATTGTTTCGCGACATCATTTCCGCGTTTGCGGTTCAAGGTCGAGCCTGATCAAGGTTCATGGCGATCACTCATTCGACGAGACGATCCGTCTTCGTTGATTGACGATCGCCCGAGACTCGACCTGACTTTATCGTCACGATCGTCCAGCGTTTATGCATCTTTCTCAATCGGGCACATGCTCGTTCTGCTCCGCAGGGTACGAAGCTATGGATCATCATGGAGTATCTGGGTGGCGGCTCGGCCCTGGACTTGATGAAGGCCGGTAGCTTCGAGGAGATGCACATCGCCGTGATATTACGCGAGGTGCTCAAAGGGCTGGATTATCTGCACAGCGAGCGTAAGCTCCATCGCGATATTAAAGGTACATGCGCTCGATAAGTTGCGAAGGGTGCTGCTCGACGATGTTCCATGTGAGGTGGATGTCGAGTAGTCTTTTTCGCTTCATACGATATATATATATATATATATATATATATATATATATATATATATATAACACAGGCCCACAATTTAAAAAAAATTATCTGTGCTGGGGGTCTGACTAGGTATACTATACGTATTTTGGGCTGCTGAATCCAAATCCGGTGTCAGATTTGCTCCATCATCCTTGAGTTTCCCGGAAAATCGAGGAAATCGTGAAAAGGAGCAGATATCCATGTTTTTACGGAGACATGTGTTCAAGGAAAATTCTAGAGTGACGAATAACCCTATAACCCCACAACCAACGTTGAAAATACATTATGTACTTCAACATCTGATGACTAGAACAACCCAATAACCCATATACCATCATACATATTCGGTTTTAGTTCACCCATAAATCCTTTAACATCGCATAGATTAGAAAATCTGATCTGTGCGTGCCCTATCATGGTCACATTCATGTTATTGTCCACGAGATGGAATCTTTTTTCTATTAGAAATATCAATTCTACAATATATGATCGTCGATTAGATAAATCCTGCTGCTTCAGAGGATGTTGGAGACGATGACAACTGCCCCGTAAGGGGATTTTGTGTAGAATGATTTGTTTTCCATGTTGAAGTACATAATGTATTTTTAACGTTGGTTGTGGAGTTATGGGGTTATTTGTCACTCTAGAATTTTTCTTGAATACATGTCTCCGTAAAAACCTGGATATCTGCTCCTTTTCACGGTTTCCTCGATTTTCCGGAAAACTTAAGGGTGATGGAGCAAATCTAACACCAGATTTAGATTCAGCAGCCCAAAATACGTATAGTACACCTAATCAGGCCTCCAGCACAGACAACTGTTTTTAAATTGTGGGCCTGTGTAATTAAAGTCCGCGTAATATCACTGATATTTCATTAGGTCAATGCGGAAAGTTCGTCGTGTCTGTTAAACAAAATCAAGAACGGAATCATCCGATCTCGTAGTCAATTGATACCTTTTGAGTGTCCAAGAAATTGCGTTTAACTCCGTTTTTCTCTTTATTAAGACATCTAGCAAAGTTTCCTCATTTCTTGTTTAATACTCATAAATTGGTGTCTGTCTGCAAGTTCAAATTTGAGAGAAAAACGACGAAGCTCTGACCACGCTGAACTAAGAGACATTCTTCTTCGTTCATCCAATAAGTGTACGATTATATAAAATGTGAGATTAATTGGTATGGTAATCTGTTCAACTACGCAGCGGCGAACGTCTTACTGAGCGAAATGGGCGACGTCAAGTTGGCCGACTTCGGCGTGGCCGGCCAGTTAACCAACACCACGAGCAAACGAAACACCTTCGTCGGCACGCCGTTCTGGATGGCGCCCGAGGTTATCAAACAGTCCGCTTATGATTCTAAGGTAATTACACTAATTAAATTGTACCATATAGCGCGCAACACAATCGGCTCTTACGCAAACACATTTCTAGAGAGCAGTAAAGTTTTATTTATTTCCCGAATCGAAATTTTTTGAATATCATTATATTTCTGTGGGAAAAATAAGGTAATACAGCGAATTTTTTGTTATCGTTAAACGGTTCAATTGTAACACTTGAGCTCAGAAACTGAGCTGATAATACTCGCGCTTTTCTTTTCCATCGGTTTTGTTATTCTCATCCTCATGCTTTTCTGTTTCGCGCATGTTTCTCTCTCTCTTTCGCGGTTCTCGAAAATTGTTTCCACGCAGTGCGGGTCACGCTTTCATTAGCGTGTCGTTAGCGCTTCGTCCGACAAGCAGCGAGTCCACAGGCAACGCTTATTCCACAGGCTGACATTTGGTCCCTTGGCATCACGGCGATCGAACTCGCGAAAGGGGAGCCGCCTAACAGCGAACTGCATCCCATGAGGGTCCTCTTCCTAATACCCAAGAACAATCCGCCACAGTTGACCGGGAATTACACGAAACAGTTCAAGGAGTTCGTCGAAGCTTGCCTCAACAAAGACCCCGAGAACGTGAGTATACCGTTAAATACGTGATTGTCCACGCTTTGATGCCGTCGACACTCCGAGAGCTTCACCGATGTCGTCGGATGTCTTCGCGCGTGATCTTATGAAACTCACTTATTTACTTGTTTACGAAAAAAAAAATCCTTAGTACTAGGTGGAGAGAATAGATTCTCACAATAAGAATGAATTAATCATCAACTATCAACATGAGTGATTATCAGAATTAAACGATTTAAAATAAGTAAATGTGAGTATGAGACAAGAGTTATGTATAAATACTCTTGGTAAATTATGGAACAAGTCACAGTGGACCCAAAATATTCGATTGCTATTGTCTTCGCGATTTAAATTTTCCCAGTCGCCGAGCCAAATTATTGTAATTTTAACTGGACGCAGGAAGATGTGACACTTTTCAGTAAAAGATTGTAAGATTGTAAAATTTTAATTCGACTATTTCTGTGTTACAGAGGCCAACGGCGAAAGAGTTGCTGAAGTTCCAGTTTATTCGAAAAGCAAAGAAGAACTCGTACCTAATCGACCTGATTGACAGGTACAAAAAGTGGAAGTCGCAACGCAGCGAGGAGTCGGAGACCGAGAGTGAGAATTCGGACTCGTGAGTATCTTGCGATTTATGTGTTTCCGGTGTGTTTCTCAACGAAAGTAAAAGTACCATTATTTTTATTCGTTGTATGCGCGCTCGGAACTCTCCTCAAATGTGTAAAAATTACCGCGAGAAACAAAGCTTCTCTCATCGTGTTGTGGATCCCGTGAAACAAACGGTCACAACAAATGAGACTAATTTAGATAATGTTTGTAAACACAATACACAAAATAAATATCTCTTCGATCATTAGATATGTTCTCCGACGAATGGTTACTTCGTTGATCTGTTATTTGTATACAAAATGGGAGTATAAGATGAAATATAAAAGAAAATGGAATATAAATTCGTATACAAAATTCACACTAGATGGGATATAAGAACGAAATACAAAGTGAAATATTGAACGATATAACAATAATAGACTATCAGCAGACTAACCATTGATTCATAGTCTCGCTACATACACGTGTACATCATAATTTTTGAATTTTTACTTCACGATCGAAACTAGATAATGCTCAACAGAGTTTGGACTTTAGTTATCAAGAGAGTCGAGGCTCCGCAAATAAAAGCAAAACAAACAAAAACAAAACAAAATTGCGCTTGTACTAATACGAATTTAAGTAAAAGTACTAGTTGAAAGGGAGGGAGGGGGAGAAAGAGAATGTGCGCGGTACACATTCTCGCCGCCGCTCTCGAACGTCCGGGAAGAAAGGAAACTACTTTGGGGAGGTCGCGTTTGTCAATCGCGAAGACACAGTAATCGCGTCTAAGCGCTGGTAAATTGTAACTCGTCGCGTTTTTACGCTGTTCAGGGAGGAATCCAAGCAGGATAGCGACATGGACGAGCCGTGGATAATGACGGTGAAAGGCCCGCACGGGGTCAAAGGATCCGTGGTGCCTATGCTGCCGCTGAACGAGCAGCCGACATCCTTGACCCTAACACACACGAATCATAGGTCCTCCAATCATAGTCAGGCGGGCAAACCGCACGCGAACGGCGCCTCGCGATCACCACCGAAGGATTCCACGCTGAATCACTACAGAAGCGAGTCCAGAGATTCGTTGCGCGATGGCCAAGCGAAACCGGTACGTTTAACCCAACAATCGATATCAATTGTACATATATTAGATGTGCCAAATAATCAGGTATCTCCAAATAATCTCAAAAGTCTACATTGTTTAAGTCTATGTAGACTTTGAATTGTCACTCAAAAGCCTGCATAGAAGTTCAGACAAAGCTTTTATTTTTTAATCAATGATATAATATATAAGTTGAATATTTTGCTCGAGTTGTACATACTAAAAATGTACTGTTTATATACTGAGCAGCTCAAGTAGAAACTGATAAGAAGAATAATCTGAATATATGATTACTTATTTTTTTAATATTTCAATGTTCTTCCTCCTGCTGTGTGATTTCTCTTTCACTCTCTCTTTCTCTCCCCTTTTTAGTCCCGACCGCACGAGGCCGCGCCTCCACCACCGGTGGACACGAGAGAGAAACGAGGAGAGGACAGAGAGTATCGCGCTTCCAGCCGGGAGTCCACGATTAGAGAAACGAAGGAGACGTTCCACGAGAGGGACAGGGACGTCCGGGAGCGAGAACGGGATAGAGAGGGCAGAGATCGGGAAAAAAACAGGGATTTCAATACGCGAGAGAAGAGGAGGAACAGTAAACTGGAAGTGCCCATCGCCCCGATGGTCGATCACAGATCCGGCGAGGATAAACAGAGGCCGAGGAGCTCGCAAGAGCTTAAGCATCCCCGAAGCGTCGCTCTATCCAGCGTGGTCCTGCCTCTGCTTTCCGAGGTAACGCGAATTTATTAACGAGTACACGTAACGAGAGAAAGAAAAAGTCGAAGCTCTGGTAGAAATTTTTCGCGAGAGCGTGAGTGACTCACGGATGGCTTTTTATTGATTCCTCGCAGCTTCAACGAAAGCATCAATATTCGACGAGAGACAATAACGGCGAAGGCGGCAGCGGCATCGGCAAAAACGGCGGCGCTATAGAGGAATTACGCGGCGCCTTCGAGTCGGCGGAACGCACGTCGCCGGGAATGACGGAGTCGCTTATCCGCGAATTGATCAAATCTCTACTTCCGCCCAATCACTCGGAAGGCCGTCTGTCCATGCTGATGGAGAAGGTCATCTTGAGGTAACGTTTAATGGATCCGTCTAATAGCTTCGAATCTCATCTCCCTTTCCCTCATCCCCGATTCAACAATGGAACATGGATCCATTATAACAATAATATTGCAGCGCGAATAATGTCAATAGCTTTTTTGTATAACTCAACCTTTAAAAATGTTGTGTTTACACCGTGTTATTGAGTAGAAGATTACAACATATAATTATAATATAAAATTATACAATCATTTGTAACGTATTGTATTTATTCGCTCGGTTCGATGCAGACGATACAGCTTGTAAAGCTTAGTTGGCAGAGCTGAGACTGTAAGAAGCTTACTACAACGTCGCCCGTTGGGTGATTAGTGATTAGATTAGTCTTTTTTTTGATGACGCATCAGAGAGACGCGTGTACAGAAATAACAACGAGGCCCTTCTTCTGTTTCAGCGATACGTAGGGACGCGAGAGGACGAAGGTCCGCAAGAGATTGTGGTCCCAAAACATCCTGACGTTGTAAAACCATTCGTTATTTCTCTCGATTATCAACTTACCAATCAGCATGAGCCGAATGTCATCGTCGATTCGAGTGGCGATTCCGAACGTGAACGTGAAGGGAGCGCATTACTTCCCACCCCTGCCGCCCGCCACCCTTCTCCTACTTTTTCCCCGCAATCCTCACCGTATATTCAGCAGCTGATCTTGAAGACCACGCTACAACGAAGTTCATCGAAATTCTACGAAGTAGTCTATTGAACGAACCGCCTCGTCTCTATCTAGCTACCTATCCATCTACTATCCTACTTACCTACCTACCTACCTCGCCGTAGGATAAAATACGTAGACGGCAGACACACGCGAAACGTTGTGCCAGTGTTCTTGCAGTTCCTACTCGTCTAATTGTTATCGATCCTGTCCCGGACTATTTCAATTGGATTGTCACATTTGCGTGCTCGTCCATTTCCTGTCGGCCGACAGTCCGTTACACCCGCGGATCATGACCATCGCTTTGTTCTCCAGCTTCTAATTTTTTTTTTTTTACATCTTTAATTCCGTAACCTAAGCGAAGAGGTGAGTGGACGTCGTGAAGTTATATTTTATACTGAGAAACCAAAATACGATGCAAAAGCACAACTCAGTTCGTATATTCGTTGTCGAGAACGTATTCTTCTCGAAAGTCATCGACAAATTGCGAAACTGTCGGTCGATTTCTGTGCAACCTTAGACAGTTAGGACGTTCTTCGTTGCTGATAGATTAAAAAGACGCGGAGTGCGATCACTTGCACAAATAGCCTTAGAGCTCCTCCCGACAGCGTATTCGACTTTATATAGCTCTAGAGGACCTGTCTCGGAAGAAAAGAGCGGGAAAAAGAAACGTGTAACGTTCTAGCGACTTTATGGCGATCAATTACTACGAGTAGAGAAAGGCGGAAATTAAGCGACAGCGTGTTCGCGAGAAGGCTGTATCGGAACTTCCGTTTACGCGATAGCAGCGCGCCTGTCCGACACAAGAATTCCTTGAACCTCTTTCATGTTCGGCGCGAGCACGATATCCGGCGATACGAGAGCGAAATTGTACAGACTCGGCAGAAAACGAGGAGTATTTGATGAGTTGGTCTTGCCTCAATGTAGATACGTCCGCGGCATGCACTATCGAGTCATACCGAGCACACACACACGTGATATAAGTGAGAAAAAAGAAATAGAGGAAGCTCTCGAAGCTACTGCTGAGGGGGCTTCGAGAACGGAGCTTTTACGATGACACAATGTTTTTACAAATAGAACATTTATTTAACAGTGCGTTTCGCTGAGCGAGAAAGAGAAGAAGAAGAGAGAGAGAGAGAGAGAGAGAGAGAGAGAGAGAGAGAGAGAGAGAGAGAGACAGAGTCAGAGTCCTGTAGCAGCCGAGCTAAAGAAAAAATGTGTTCTCAGAGTAGATTTCTTCCCGTTGCTTCCTACGCTAGTGCACGTTTCGGACGCGAAAAGAGCAGGTTTAAGAAATGAGCTCTAGCGTTAGTAGCTAGAGGCGTTGTAAATATGTATGTAGCGCGATAAGATAGTCTTATTGTTCAGATCGACGTCTTTACCAACTGGTCGCACAGCTCCGTTGAACGATCTTGTTACCCTCGAAGAAGAGATTCCTTTCCTCATAAGTCATCGTTTGTCACTGAGACAGATGATAGACGATGTGTAGGCTACGTAGACGAGTCGCCGTTGCAAATTTACCGGGGAGCTTTTATCGTTTCGTCGGTGTAGTTGCCGCTTGTTGCATAAATCGCAGATATAAACCGTTACACAGCAGCCGTGTTTAAACATCCGTGTGCGCGCGACACATAATAGCGTTCGAGTGTATGTATATATGTATATATGTGGTGTATATACGCACACACACACACATACACATATATATATGTCCTTAATTTCTAGTTGTGAAAATCTCACTTTGGAAATCGTCGATGAGGAGCAACGCTATCCTAGAACTCTATCGTCTCCAGTATACGTAGAATCGCGAAAGGTGCTCCAATCTTTCCGCCGCGCCTTAATGAAATATCGCCTATGTCATTTTAACAATAACGGAAACAATAACGGAGTCATTGCACGTTGACGAGCAACGTGTTAAACCGTTCGAGCGCTCTCGTCAGATCGTGAAGGAATGTAATGACGAGCGTGCGACTTGAACAGTTTTGCGAGAGAGAAATGAGACCAGAATGCGGGCGCTTTTTACGAGTTTCTTTATTCCTCGCATAAGATTGACGTGGAATGACTCGACAATCAATTCGGACGGCACGAGAGTACAGAGGCATTATTGCCGCCTACTACTAGGAAAGTGCGAGGAGAGTTTCGCGAACTTGAACGTGCGACGCACGTTTCTTCATTACGACAACACAACAACAGACAATTACACGGAACTTGAGTTTCACCGTTCTTCCAGTTTTGAATTTTTATGTCGAACAATACACAAATTCCTAAGAGAGAACCTTTTGTTTTCACGATCGAGTCCGAGCTGCGATGACTCCCGGAGGGCGTCGACACTTAATCCACGTTGTTTGTATAAACTAATGTATTTTATAAAATATATTATATAGAAAAAGAAATTACACACACACATACACGCGCGTGCGTTCGCGCGCGTGATAAGGGTAGAAAGAGAGAGAGAGAAAGAAATTGTAGGACGTCATCTACGGGGTGGTTGCAGAAAAGTTTCATGAGCAAAGGCACGCGTATGTAGAATACAATGCCTATATTCTGTGTACGATGATTTCAAGGGAGGTCACAAGAATAGTGATATTGAGCACGTGTGAGAAAGAGGAGAGACAGAGTAACTAAGGTCCGTATCAATAGTCGTGACTCGAAACTCCTCTCAAGCGAGATACTCAGATTTGAGTTGAGAGTTTGATAATATCTTCTCAGTTGAATCACGATTACAGATACAATGTCACACGTATCGTACAATTCAACTGAAAAACTTAAATGTAATCCTGAGCAAAAATCTAAGTATCTCACGTGAGATGAACTTCAAGTATCGACTGTTAATGCAGGCCTAAGAGTCACGAGTCCTTAGAGAAGATACGCCAATTAACAGCGGAAATCGATACGTAAGATGGCAAGGAGACTTAATTACATTACCGAGAACGATTACCGCGCCAAACTAGAGCATTTGTTTTCGAATTTCAAAACTTAATTAACGTTTTCATAAGCATCGCGACAGATTCCGGAAGAAGCACTTTTTCAATCGAGTCAATCTTGTTTGCTTTATCATTAAAATAATCATTTCCTGCAAGAAGCAAGAAAAGTGACTGCAAAATATCGGAAATCTCTGCTCTGCTACGCCTTTTCTCGCTTTACCTTTCTACTTTTCCCGCCGCCCGCCTAGATGAGAAGAGTACACGATATGTATTGATTTTACTTTTAGTTATGTTAATTATTCGTTACGCTGTATCGTTAATACGGTACTCCCCTTCCCCTCCCCCCACCCCTGTATCAACTGAACAATTTCGTTTCTTGCATTAAATCGTAAGAGAGAAAGAGTGATGTTTTTTTTTTTTTATTATTATCGCGCGATCTCGCGAAAGAGCCGTTTTTACGGTTCGACTCGAGCTATCGTCTTATCGTTGTCTCACCGTTCAGTTAAGTTTCAGATCATTTCTTTACGGCGATCGCTAGCCACAGTAGGCCTCGCTGCCATAAATGCTTACCGGTTACATCGTGCGCGAGCATCGTGACGCGGAGCGTCTCCGTGTCGAGTCTGCGAAACGAGAAAAGACTTATGGCTGTGTAAGCAGTACAGGTTCGTTAGGAGAAGAAAATTGTCAGGCCACCCGCGGAGTAGCGATTGATTTTACGTTGACAATGTTCATCCGTGTGATTAGAAGCACATCCTTCCCGTGGCCCGTCCTCAGTCGGAACTGTACGCGTACGTACAGCTAGCTGATTAAAGCTCGCGACACTTCCCCTCGACTAGTTCTGCAACGTATTCCGCATCTAATAGGAAAACGGATGTCTCTTAAGGATTACTAAACAACAAACTCTCCTATTGAATACGAAATGCGTTACGAGAAGAGACCTCACCGAGGAAAGGTGCCGCAACCTTTAATCAGGCGGCTTTGCGAAGGTCGGAAGGTGCTGAAAAATTCACGCGATTTCTCCCGGGAAAGTCCCCGGCGTTATCAATGTGGCGGGAAATCTTCCTCTCTACCAGTCCCGGTTTAAGCGTGTCTACGACGGGAAATGGGATTTCGTTGTGACTCGCGCCTCATCGCGATTCCCTCTCGGAATCGTCCGCTTAGAATTCTCCTCGAAGCGCACTTCGAGTCTTTGCTCGAGGGTGCGAGGACGAGACGCCGAGAACTGACGAGGACATGATCGGGGGAAATTTCAGAGGAGAACGCCCGTAGAGCGGAATGTTTCCCGAGAGATTTGCGGTCGAGTCTTTTTATTTACGCGTAGCCATACTTAATTCAGCTAAGGTACCGCTATTTTGTTTCTTTTATTACGTTTCGCGCGAGGTGATCGAACGCTGAACGTTCGTTCTTCCGTTTTCTCAAGTATGTGTGTACACTGAGAGAAAGGAAATGACTAATGTTATCGGCAAACGACTCAATTAATTGACGGTTAATTAATTTCATCAATTAATTTCATCGTGAATTACATTTATTTTGGGCGCCAATCATTTGTTTATTATTCGAACTAATGGCGCTGTGCACATATCAGAATGTTACAATAACACTTAGTATAAAAATGAGTTTGCTGATTATGATTGTTTTATAATGCAAAATTATAGTCACAAATACCAGATACTCTGTTTTCCTCAGTGTAGATTGTGATGATGTAAAAGCGAACGAACGAACGAACGAACGCACGATGTCGAACTGTGATTTTCGATTTCTATCGAAGCTCGTTGCTTTTCCTTTTTGTTCGTCTTTGACGCATACGTTGATCTACATTAATCGATTAATCGAGCGAGATTTTCCACAAATCCGGGTATCGAGATCATGGCAAGACAGATGCGACGTGCACCCTTTCGTTTGTCGACGGTCTCGAGAGAAGAGATCCGCTCACGATTCGCGAGCCGCATTCAACCCGAATTACGTGTCCTACCGTATCCAGCACTCTTCTTTGTATTGTACTTTTAGCTACTATCCATCTAATATATTCAACATTATAACATTGTGGTAAAAGAGAAAAAAACATTAATATCTCGGCGTAGAGAGTACACACACACACGTACACACATACACAGACACACATATGTATGTATATAAATATATATATTTTTTTTTGTATTTTAATTCTACCTTGGCTGCGTTGAACTGTATTATACTGATTGTATGTGGCATGCTGAGGGCGTGTACAAATACGAAATAAAAATTAAATAAAACACGACGTGTGCTTCCTCACTGAAACCTTGTTACTCGAGCC